CAAAAACTAGGGATTTTTCCCATACTTCAATTTGTGTCAAATCTCAACCATTTTAGACGATCCATATATGAAAATTCATCTACACAATGCGAGGAAGAGATTGGTGGTGGTCGAGGCTTACCTTTACTGGAAAATGATAGAATTTTACTAGGAAATGTCCTCCGCGTCGGAGTTCATGACTGGGGTTCCTAGGTTCAAATTTCAGGGAACGAAACTCATGGTTGGATTCATGGTGACAAGAAGGAGGTAATGTTGTGTTTGGAAACTTGAATCGTCGAAGAATTTTAGATGGTAGTTAGATGTGGTTGTCGGAGAAAACAAAAACGACAGAGAGTTAGGAGGTTTGATAGAAACAAAAGCTAGAAAATGGGAGACAGATGGGAGAAAAAAAATGGGACGTGGATCACAATAGCAAACAAAATCCAGACATATGGTAAAATTACCGAATTGCTCTTGACATACCATGTTTCGTAAAATCTTCATTTTAGCTCCAAATTTGGTTCTGCTTGCCCTTATGCGTATGTATCGACGAGAGCTACACGAATATGCCAAGAAAATAGACAAAATACATAATGAGCTCAAACGTCAACGTAAGGTTCCACTTAGTCCTACAAGGGCATTTTCATCATTGGATTGCCAACATTTGGAGAACAAAATACACAAATTGGGGATGGGTCATCACAGCCTACCCCTTTTAAGAAAAATCTGTCCCATAAATTTCTACATTACACTAAAATACAGTCAAAGAAAATAAATGGGGATAAAGAGCTCGCATGTGTTCCTCTGTCTCCCAAGTCGCCTCCTCAACGAAGTGGTTTCGCAACAAGACTTTTATAAGTCGGATGGTTTTGTTCCTCTAAACTTTGCGAACAACCCCTCTCAACAATGACAACTTCAAGAATACCCATTCATGTACCTTTATACTTATACATATGACCTCAAATATCACACTATCAGACCCTACACTTGGATAGTTTGTTTATACCTAAAATTCCCAATCCTATTTCTTAATTCTACATCATTTTTTATCCAATTGAAATAGAATCTCATTGAAAGTTTTAAGGTCAAATCAATGATCAAATCTATGAATATAAGATACCTATAATGCCTCAAATCTAAGATCTAGAAACTTTGTAATGTTTGACATGTGGTAGACCTGGCAATTTCTTACACGATACGAAAATGATACAAAAATAACGGGTTTCGAGTCAACATGATAACTAATCGGGTCACACAATAAGAACCTATTAATAATGGGTCCTTAACAGGTTTACACGCAGGTAACTCATTTCGACACGTTAAGGAAAAAAGTTATTTTGATGATTTAATTTTTTAAACTATTAAAAAACTTATCATAAAATACAATAGTCATAATGTATATGTATATATTGTATGTATTATTGTAGGTCTAAAATATCAATATTATCCCGATATTTCCATCGAAATTTCCGTGTTTTTGAACTACCGATATTTCCGATATCATCGATATTTTAGACCTTGATAGGAACTCTATGTGGTACTAAGTCACTCATGTATCTTACCATGCAATGTATAAAGTGTAAAATATTGTACTAATTCATTATATATAAATGATTATGGTGTGTTTAAACTTCTTTCATTAATTACTACATATTTTCTACACTCACAATGTTTGCCAGCTCGCTATATAATCAACTTAAATCAGTTAAATTCATCATGCAATGCATTTCCTTCCAATTTTTTGTGATAAACTAATGATAATTGACTAAATAAACTCCTGCAACGTTTCAAAAAAAATTTCCAAGTTTTTCTTATAATTTCCATGGTTTTTATTCAATTTTTATCGATATCGATAATATCCCGATATTTCCATCGAAATTTCCGTGTTTTTGGACTACGTATATTTCCGATATCATCGATATTTTATACCTTTTATTCTATATAAATTTAAAAAATTCAAGTTTTATTGAGTTATTTTTATTGTATACTACTAGCAAAGAGTGAGATTAAAAAATTATAAAACACATTACAAATAAAAATATCAAGTAATTAAAAAATATCTAACACATTAAAAAAAAAACGTGCAAGGTTGCTCAACCTTGAAACACAACTCTCTTCATTTTGCATATCTTGGAACATTTGGTATTTTGTAATAATGTACTGATGTTTTTTCATTAGGCTCTTAATTTGGGGTAGGTAATACTTGAAAGACAAATGTTTTTTTTTTATTTTTTTTTTTATGTTTTGAAGTAATGTTTGTGCCAATGTAGTACGCATACACTAATTTAGTATTATATTTTTCATTTTTTTTGGGTCAAATTATGTTTTTCATTTTCATTATTTATTGAATTCAAATTATTTTTTTAATGAATAACAGGTCGGGTCATATTACCTTAAACTATTAATGGGTAGATTTCAGGTCAGATCATATTACCCGTTTACTTTAATAGGTATTACATGACACTATCCGTTAAGATATCAGGTATATCACGAATACGATGTGAACATGGAAAACACAACATGAATGTCAGGTCTAACTTGTGGTAAGCATCCATACGTTTAAATTCTTGAACGGTCAATGTTCAACCAACATGTTCAACATTCAAGTACATGTGTACCTATCACATGTCCAACACAAGTAGCACGAGATCATATCAACCTTAGTGTCATATACACTAGCCTTTCCTAACAACTAGCTTTATTTAAGAACTAAGTGACAATTGAATACAAGTCTCCCTGCCCTAACCTTGTTGAGGACATTGTTTCCGTACCTTGACTATTGAATACAAATCTCCCTGCCCTCACCTTGTTTAGGACATTGTTTCCATATCTGAAATCCTATAAACTCATTCATAGTATATTATCACTATAATATAAAAGCCAAACTCATAAATGAATAAAAGTTGCCCATTTATTAATTAATTATTGTTGAGTTATTACACATGTCATATCCCGACCCGGGCTCCACCACATCCCAAGCTTGACTCCTCCGTAGCATGATATTGTTTGCTAAGGGTCTCAACCATGCCCTTACGGTTTTGTTTCTGGGAACTCACGTGAGACTTCCCAGTGGATCACCCATCCTGGGATTGCTCTCGCCCGAACTCGCTTAACTTCGGAGTTTCGATGGAACCTGAAGGCAATGAGTTCCTAAAATGCCTCATGCTATATGGAGGTGGGCATGTACATATAAGGCATAGAGGATCCTTTCCCTTGGACGATGTGGGATCTAACATCCTCGTCGGCACACTTCCAGCCAAGGATTGGCTCTAATACCAAATTGCCACATCCCGACCCGAGCTCCACCACGTCTCGACTCAACTCAGCCATAGCACGTTATTGTCTGCTTTGGGCCCCAACCACGCCCTCACGGTTTTGTTTCTGGGAACTCACGCAAGACTTCCCAGTGGGTCATCCATCCTGGGATTGCTCTCGCCCGAACTCACTTAACTTCGAAGTTCCGATGGAACCCGAAGCCAGTGAGTTCCCAAAAGGCCTCGTGTTATATGGAGGTGGGCATGTACATATAAGGTATAGAGGATCCTCTTCCCTAGGCGATGTGGGATCTAACAACATAAATTCAATATTATATAAATTGGCTTTTAGGGCATAGCTCCAACATAATGAACGAACATGTAAGGGAATCTCATGTGTTTATGAGGAGTTGAACTATACGTCATATTGCCAATTGATTTTATTGTAAGACCTCAACTTCTTTTAAGGTGCACCACTAACAGATCCATTGAATGATTAAACACTATATTTCTCACCCCGATTCACTAGATTCAATATAAATAGCGAGTCACAATGGCACATGTGTTTTATTTTCAAAGGCTTAATTGTATCAATGACCCATGAACTTTATTCCTAGTTTAATTTTAGTCATGAACTATCATATTAGTTTCTTTAGTCTTCAAACTTAGCAATGTGTTGTACCATTAGTCATTTTCACTAATGCCATCTATTTTTCCATGAAATTTAGGGGTTTAAAAATGAGAAATGAAAAAGAAAAAAAGATCTAAAAAATTAGATTTTTGGTGTGTGTAAGAAAATTGATACATAGGAATTTTTTTCGTAGTTCAATATGTGATTGATTTGTAAGTTGTTTGAGTCCAGCCACTATTTGATCTCTTACCAACTTTGAAATCGCATTGCCTAATTTTTACAAGTTTGCTAAAGTCCAACCATTTTCATTTTGTATTTTATAGTATAAATTTCATTTTGTTTTATGTGGTAGATAATAATTTATAAATTTTCATTTGTATTTTTATCTATTGCTTTTTGAAGTTTTAAGTTGAAACTTCTAATATACCCCTAAATTTAAAAAAATATGTATAAACGGCGTTAGTGAAAATGACTAATGACGCAACATATTGTTAAGTTCGATGACTAAAAACATTAATATAGGAGTTGCGGGACTAGCCACTTAGTACTACGATCTAGTGGTATTCCTCTTCACTTGTAAGTGAGAGGTCTTAGGTTTGATTTTCGCTAAAGGTGAATTTGAACCGCATTATTGCTAACATATTGTGAGGCTAAACTCATCATTCCCCTTAGTGTAAACAATATCATTTGTTCAAAAAAAAAAAAAAAAGAGGGAGAGAGTTGAGGGACTAAAATTAAACTAGAGGTAAAATTCAATGACCATTGCAACAGTTAAAGCTTATTTTTAAAATACAACGTCAATAGAGAGTGTCAAATCTAACGTCTTCTATTTAGAAATGAAGGCATAGTACCACTAAATTGTAACCACAATAACAAAGTTGCTAGAATTTTAAAAGTAAGAAAAAAAATAGGTAGTGTTATCTATACGTCTATTTTTAGTTTACACGTACCTTTTTAATTTTCGGACATTGAATTAAATGAATTAAAAGATACGTGAAAGGTAAAAATAAGAGTGAATAACACTTTTGTTATAATGGGGCATTTGTAGGGGTTGGTACGAAGAATCACGCGCCACGAGTGCGAATACGAGAATAAGCAGTCCAAAGCAAAATGATACAAAACACGAAAAACAAATAAAAAACAGAGAAATAAATCGCCGGCTTTGTTAGTGTTTGGAAGAAAGGCAGACGACTGTTTGGACTCAACTTCTTTCAGGAAGAGGAGAGGGAGAATTTTCGGAACAAAGGAATCATCTTTCAAGGAATCACAACAATCCCATCTCCCCATTAGAAAATCCCATTTCCCATCTTTCTGGTTTTTCAATCTCTTCTGTGCGAGGAGAGAGTGTCTCTGGAGGCCGGCCTTCCTGCTGCGTGCCCTAGATCTTGAGAGAGTCAACGAAGAATCACCGTTCCCGATCTTCAATTCTCGGTTTCAAGCTCCTTTCAGATCATAGCATCAGGTATCTCCTTCCTCTTCTCCGAGTGTCAGAAACTGAGATTTTGAATTTTCGTTTGGGTTGCACTTGCAGTGGCTGTTTTGATTTTGCCTACTTTCTCGGCAGCCAAACGGGAAATAAGAAAATGGGGAAGAATTTTCGGCGTTGAGGGCTGCTGGGTTTGACTGTTAGGGGGCAATAGAGATTGCGTCTTGGAGTTGGGGTTTTTACTTTTCTTGGGGTAGATTGGAATCTGTGGGTTGGTTTGACTTTTATTTACTTGGATTTTCGTACCTGCATACTTATTCAGGTGTTTGGTATTAGTTGTTGGACTGCTTCTTAGATTTGAATTCTGAACATATGGTTTTGTTGCTTTGGTTTGTTCTTTTATTTGCTCATATTTACACTGTTACCGCTCCGATTGGTTGCCTGAGGCGAGGTGAGGAGACTGAAGGGAAACGAAAAACCGAAACAATGAATTATAGTTTATTTGCTTTTCTTGGCAAACAATTATAAGCACTAAACATAACTCGATGATCATGAATTCGATCTGATTTCTGATGTTGCTTAGTCTTTGAATTGTATCGTTGCATTTCTTTGTGATATCATGAACTTAGTCCGCTTATCATTGCATATAGGACCTCTAATTTACCAATTAATCCTCTTAATACTTTCAGATTGCAGAAATTTCTACACCAATCAGGCAGTGCAATGGTGGATAGGGACTATGGGCAGGAATAAGATCATTAGGTGATGAAGTTGTGATGCATTTATTTTAGATGAAGACGAGTCATTGGCGATTAGGCATGGGTGACATGCAGATCTTGCCTGGGGCACGCCATCGCCCACCTTTGAAGAGGCCAGTGTGGATTATTGTCTTGGTTTCTTTGGTCAGCATCTTTGTGATTTGTGCTTTTCTCTATCCACCTCAAAGCAACGCTGCTTGTTACATATTTTCTTCCAGAGGTTGTAAGGCTATTTCAGATTGGCTTCCACCGGCTCCTGCAAGGCAATTTACTGACGATGAGATTGCATCCCGTGTTGTGATCAGAGATATTTTAAGCGCACCTCCTATTCAATCCAAGAATCCAAAAATTGCATTCATGTTCCTTACACCAAGTGCATTGCCTTTTGAGAAGCTGTGGGATAAGTTTCTCCATGTAAGGTTTCATCTGCTATTTATTTATTGGCCCAACAAAGAAATCTTCTGTGTTGTTTTTTCCTTTTATTTTTTTTTTGGTTTCTTTAATGCTTTTTTTCCTAATATGCCTGTTCTGTTTAGTTGGCTTAAGCATATTCAGATAGTATATGATCATTGTCAGATAGTGCTGAGAAAGTATAAGAGTAGAAAGTGATCAACTTATATTGTTGTCCCAATAATCTTTTACAAGGATAGTTGTTGGACTATTCACATACAAGCAAGAGTCTCCATGCCTGAATTATTTTATGGTTACCGATTAACAGTTAAAGACTGTTGGACCAAGAAGCTTAATTCCATCAAGCTATCTAATATTCAAGTTTGACAATGCAGCATAATGGTTGATAAATGCTTGAATTGTCGGTTGTATTAGGTGGGAGATAACAAGTTTGATGGGAGAATCTTTCTGTATGAATGAGGCAAAGTTTATGGAAATGTTCTATACCAAAATGACACACATGCTTCTTATTTGTAAATTTTTTATGTCTTTGTGGCTGATGAGATGAGTTGGAGCCTTCTTTCACTGTTACTTTTGTTTTCATATTTCTGATTGATTTATAATTTGTTGGTATACAATTAAATTAGGTATTTTTCATAAAAATATGTGATAATAAATGTTCAACCTGTTACAGGACATAATTTCTGATCCTGTTCAATCAATATTTGAGTGTTGATAGAGCCTGTTCAAGTAGTTATCGATTCACATGCTTAGCTTGAGCATTTCCGTTTTTTGTTGGCAGGGTCATGAAGGGAAGTTCTCTATCTATGTGCATGCTTCTAAGGAAAGGGCAATTCATTTGAGCCGTTACTTTTTTAATCGAGAGATTCGCAGTGACCCGGTAAACCTGCTTAGATTACCTTACTTTACAAAATCTTTGTTTCATTTTTAATCCATATAACTCTCAAGGAAGCTTAGGATAATATTTAATATTAACTTAAATAGCAGAGACTTACTGATTATTTCTTCATTTAATCTTGGTCATTTTAAGCTTGCAGACATATTGAATCCATCATTATTTGTCATGCAAGGGTTATAATTGTGTAGATGAGGTTCCAGTGATAGGTAGAAGAGTATAAAGATTACACATCTATCAGTAGTGATTGTGATTTATTATTGTCATGTTTAACTAGTGATTTAGGAGGTTAATGAGATCTATCATTGATTCATGTTTCCAGGTGATTTGGGGAAAAATTTCTATGGTAGATGCAGAGAGAAGATTATTGGCAAATGCTCTTCAAGATCCTGATAACCAGCATTTTGTCTTACTTTCTGAAAGGTGATCAAATTCTAGGTACCTTTAGTAATCCTTTTTGTCAAGTTCTGATTATTTCTGCTGTTATTAATCTCATTAATTCTTTCTGTTGTGCAGTTGTGTACCATTGTACACATTTGACCATATCTATGACTATCTGATGAATACAAATATAAGCTATGTTGACTGGTTAGTAGAATCTTATTTTATGAGCTACTGTTTTAGTTTAAATGTGTTGGCAGCTCACTGTACGATTGGATTTGAATTTGATGAATAAGTACAGTTATGAATGTTGCCTAACTAGGTTTTAATTTTTTTATCCTCTGAAATTATTTGGAGCCAACTTGTTCCTAATTGATAAATTCATTTTTCTTACCTATATACTTGTGTATTCTTTTCAGCTTTGAGGATCCTGGTCCACACGGAAATGGGAGGTATTCTGAACACATGTTACCTGAAATTGAGAAGAAAGACTTTAGAAAGGGTGCACAGGTATTTTTTTTTTATTATGTTGAGGTTGTAGATGTAGTTCTATAATTTGTGGAAATTTGATATGTTGTCCATCTCTTGACGGCCATTTTTATTAGTTTTATATAACTAGTCTGCAATATCAACAAACGTAAACAGTAGGGATATATGACCACCTAAAAATACTTTTCATTCCAAGGTAACACAAAAAGTCTAATATTCTGAATTATATGCAGTGGTTCTCTATGAAGCGTCGGCATGCTGTGATAGTAATGGCTGATAATCTCTACTACTCGAAATTCCGGGACTACTGTAAGGCAAGTTTTCCTTCTCAGCTATCTACCTTGTTTAAGTTCTTTAATGTTCTTATATTAGATATTTTCGCCTGTAATTTGTTTATCATATATCTATAGGCTATAGCATATCTGCATGTATGATACTTTCATCCTTGCTTTCTCTTATTATTGGTATAATAGATTTTGGGTCGCTCTTTATTTGGTCGTTTTCAGATGATCTAAGCTCTTAACAATGCTGAATTTTTTAATTACTTGTTGTCAAAACATATGCTTGATTTCAACATATGGCTTGCTATCCCCTTCTCATGCTTGGCCCACTGTACAGCTGAGATGCAAGTATCTAATAGGTTTTTTCTGTAATCTTTAAAACCATGATGCTGTATGTTCACTGGTCTCAATTTGTTGATGTGGATTGTCTTGGTAACAACAGCCAGGTTTTGACGGGCGCAATTGCATTGCTGATGAACATTACTTGCCAACCTTTTTCAATGTGAGAACTCTTAAAAATTTTCTCTTCAGTGTTCCCTTCTGTTCTCTGCCTGAATGAAGTTTCCTTTGTACATGTTTTCAGATAATTGATCCTGGTGGCATTGCAAACTGGTCCGTAACACATGTTGATTGGTCTGAAAGAAAGTGGCATCCGAAGTTATATAAGTCTCAGGATATTACACATGAGCTTCTGAAGAATATTACGGTAGAATTCTTCTATAAGCTTTTGCATGTGTGTGTGTTTTTTATTTATGGATAACAGCTCCATCGTGCATGTTTATCTAGTTTGGATATGTGTTGCATAGCTATGTCCACACTGAATGCCGATTCCATAGTAGCTCATCCCTGGCTCTTTGTGTCACCTGTTGAGCCTCTCATGTTATGTTGTGTCGCACTCCAGCCGTTAGCTGTTCAAAACCATACAAACACCCCGCGTATCTTACAAAAAGAAAAAATAATGAAAAAAGACAAAGGGAATAGTCTAGGGATTGTTTTTTTAAGATTTTAATATTAACACTTGACCTTTTAACGAAGATGGCTGGAAATGGTTTGGTGGATATATAAATCAAAGTGTCTTTATAATTGCTTTCTTTGTGCCATCAGTTCCAGCATAGATAGTGTTTGAAAGAACAACAATTCGAATGTAAATAGTTCAAATTTTCTGATGGCGACTTTGGTTGTCTTATCTCTGCAGTCGATTGATGTGAGCGTGCATGTAACCAGTGATGCGAAGGTATGCATCTAAAAGATTGGTGATACATGCTTATGGAATTGGATTGCTTGGCAATAATTTAATTTACATTTTCTATTTTGTTTTTCAGAAAGTAGTACAGAAATGGCCTTGCTTATGGAACGGTATACAACGACCGTGTTACTTATTTGCCAGGAAGTTCCATCCAGAAACTCTGAATGACTTGTTGCGCCTTTTTGCCAATTATACAACAGTTTGAGCCGGATATTTTTTTACTCCATATTCTTTGGTTGGATCGCCTTCGACCCTTTCACTCCATCCGATATCCAGTATAGCTGACAAAGTTGTAAATTGCCAAATTATCGAGGCTTGATAGTTCCCAACCTCCCGACCACGATTCTTGAGTGCAAGGGCAACTGGCAGAGCAGTTAGTTTGACCCGAGTCAGGCAGGAGGCTAACAGGCTAGTGTTGCTTCCCTGGGGATGATACGAGGATATGTTGTTATCTCTACGAACCCTTCATTCTCTTTCACTGCATCTTGTGGTTAGTCTTTGTAAAAGATGAAGTTTGAACTCTCAAGTGGCAAAATATACAACACGCAATAGCGCCGTGAAATTCACGCTTTGAAAGACATTTCCGGCATGCTTTTGGCAGGTGTGGCAAAATTCAGAGACAAGAAAACTAGAAACAAAGTGATTGAATTGCATATCATTAATCTTGGACATTATCATGTCATGAGAAGACATGAGTGCCCATTTCATGTGTTCAAAATTGCTCTTATTTTCCTCTTTGAAACAAAACTACAATCTTCATTCTTCTACTTGCGAATAATTTCTTTTCTCCCTAGATATTTTACATGAGAAACTGTTCGATTTTAGTCTTCAGTCGAAGATTATTGATACAAAAAATCATTCAAATCAGCGATCCTTTAGTAATTCAAATATATGGAATAAATCAGTGGTATAGGTACCAAATAACACATTAATGATGAACCGTGTATTTATTTGATAAATGCTTTTCCTCTCTCGAAACCTTTTATTAGCAATGTTGATATGTTGGATTATATGGAAAGATTGAGCAAGACATAATCTTTTTACCTAAACCCTTATTCGTGCAATTGAGAATCTACTCTAGTAAATGTCAAATATAAACAAATTTACCACGAAATATGTATCCCATTTTTTATTGCCTGTATTAGGATTTTGGATTCATCTTTCCGGCGTCCGTATCAAAATGACCTTTGAATTCCTTGGTTTGAATTCTGAATGTTATATCTAAAAAGCTGGATGCAAGGCAGTATGCGCCGCTTTCTTTTATTTCCCTGGAAGGACTTAGATGCAAAGTTCATTTCACTCAAACTCTTATTTATGTTACAGTGAAACACTTGGAACTTCTCATCATTTGCTTCCATTTCACGGAATATAATTTAATCCGACAATCTTTTCAGATAAACAAACTCGATGTTAAGTAATAGAATCAAACACGAATAAGCTTGCAGGCCCCGCCCTTGATAACATGGAAACAGAACATGTTATGCCCAACTTAGTGTTTATAAAGATTTCCACTGCGAGCCACTTAATACTATGGTCTAGTGGTATTTTTCTTCACTTGTTAGTGAAATGTCATAGGTTCGATTCTTGCCAAAGGCAAATTTGAACCACATTATTGCTAGCTCATTGTGAGATCAAGCCCACCCATCCCCTTTAATGTAGATAATATCGTTTGTTCAAAAAAAAAAAAAAGATTTCCACTGCGATAATAGAAGTACCACCCTTTGGTCTAAGACCTATGAAAAATCTTTCACTCCGAGACTTGCTTTGATGCATTGATCCGATTAAGCATGATAAAGTGATTAAATTAGTCTGGAATGACCTCCAAATCATAATGTCAGTCCGACATGTTTCAGTTGCCTTGTTGGCTAAATAATGGTTATTAACACTAGTCATGAAAAGTTGAGCATGACTTTGAATCCGTATGTTCATTCACCTTGCCCTATTGTTTGAAAAATTTAATAATTGCGAACGTGTAACCAAGAAGGGGCTTCATTCCTACTCCAACTTGTCTGTTCGTCCATATTGAATCATAAATCAAAAGTTCATTAGGGACTTTGTCGCTTGCACATGGGATCAGAAACACCTTTGGAATCCTTTTGTCAGAAACTATATAACTCACGGCAAAGGGGTATGAAAATATGACGACATTAGGGCTGAATTAGGGTTATGGTGAGGGGGAGTTTTGCATGGCAGTGCAAGTTTCTCCTGAGGGTAATGGCTTTGGGATGATCTTAATGCTTCCTGATGACTAATTGGGAGGTGGAGGAACATGCCTCTCCCAAATCGGGATTCGTTGAGTTTTGACGCTTCCAAGTCTCTCCCGCTCCCGAATCCCTCTCCTCTGCATAAGGCAATCAACCACTTGCATTTTTTTAAGATTGATTCCAAACTCTCTTTTGATTGTTATCGTCCTCTTTTATTATACAAAAATGCTACTCTTACATGGAGCTTTTGTGGGCCGCATGACAGTGAGACCTACTTGTGTTGGTGAATTCTCTCTAATAGAAGAACAACTTACATGGTACGAGTACATCACCACGTGACACACGTGTCATATTAGTCATATTAGTCGTTTCGGGTGGAGAAGACTTGGATTTGGACCCTGCAGACTTTGTTGTGCAATTCACACAAGGGACCTCATGCACGACCATGATGACATTGTTCTTCTAGTTTCCAAAAAATGATGAAGGAAAAAGGGCTCGAAGTGAGGTTTGAAATGCAAAAGCGCCTCTTCTTGGGGCATCATTCCGTATTTCGTATTTCGATACAAGCATCAAGTAACACCAAATCCAATACTAATATCATTCCGTATTTCACCACTGCTCTAATAATCCTATACAAAATACAAAATTATAAATCCTGCTCATTCCATTAGACATGGTACCGCAATCAAACCCGATGGTTCCAGTCCATGCTGCAAAAAGAAACGGCGTGCACAAGGAATTCTACATGAAAATGGAAAGACGAAAACACATCTTACCTTGCTGAGATGCTTAAAGAATGGTTGCACGGACCCAGTTATGGCCACAAGTACCTCTAAAGCTTCTATCCTCTAGTTAACAACCATCATCAGAAATTACCAACTTTACCAGCCACTGCTTTGCTATTGCCTGGTTCACGGATAACATCAGTGCAAAATAACACAAGCTTCTGTGCTCTTTGCTAAATGCACAATGTGGCTTAACTCGACAAATTGAAACTAAATACTAGAAAAGATGACCCCAAATATCAACCTTCGCTAACAGCAAAATCTTTCAGCATAATAATTGATTGTGAGGAATGAAAATAACTCAAAATAATCAAAGGTTTTCTAACACCAAGAACGCATCTAAGGATATCAAAACCATAATCAGACTATTGGTGGCACATACATCCTAGGAAAAGAACTGCATTGCAAAACGTAGTAGTAGATATATATAATCAGATAACTTGCTATGGCTAAGTAAAAGAAACTGATCTACTTCCCATTGTCCTTGAAAGACACTCCCCGAGGCACCAAATCTGTAGTAGATGAGACACTAGCAATCAGTTTAAAGACAACAATAATATGTCAGAGCAAAATCATTGTATCAATACAAAACGAACATATGATCTCCCATGTAAAATCAAAGAAAGTAGAATAAAACAACCCCACATGATAAATTGCGCATTCTTATGGTAACTAGAAAATTACAGCAAAAACCTTAATCGCTCGGTCAGATAATATTTTCATCTCTTTCTTCCACCACGCTCCCTTAATGAAAGAGTAAGTGTTTCAGCTGCTCCAACATTGTAATATGCAAGTGACATGTTGTCCTTGAGAAAACCAGGTTTTCCACTCAACTTCTGTTTGTTTGCTGGAAGCTGGATCTCCCCAGAAATTTTCTCTTTCAAACTACCAACAGTTTCTGATAAAGACTGCACCAAGATCTCCAAAAGTTGTCCCTTTAGATTACCTTCATCAACATTGGGCACAGATACTGTGATGCGAACAGGTCCCTGTAACCAAAAATAAAATATAAAAGGAATAGTTTCTGTCAGGCTACCAACAGTCCATTATACAATACCACAACACTAACTAAAGAATTTACAGTAGAAAGACAAGGACAGGAAGAAATCCATACCGGATGCTGTGCCAGAAACTGATCTTCTGGAATAAGCATAGAATCATCAAGCTTCTGCCGCTTTGGCTCAGGTTCTTCTGGAAGCGGTGGAGGAGCTTCTTCAGGTGGTGGTGGTGGCATTCCTTGAGGCAAAGGTGGGGGTGGCATCATTTGCATTGTAGGTGGAGGAACAGGAAGAGGCATATAAGGTCGGGGAACTTGCATTGGTGTAAACTGAGAACCAGGTGGAGGTGGTACAGAAATAGCAGGTGCATTCATAGACATGGATGGGTGCATAGGAGGTGGTCGGTTGAGCATAAGGGACTGCTGTCCAGAACTCATGGGCATTGGGGGTCCAGGTGGTCGAATTGATTGATATTGGACAACCGGGGGCCTTGGTGGAGGTGCAGGGAGACCGCCGCTAGTTGGAGCAGAATACTGGACTGTGTTTGGAGGACGAGGTAGATTCAAGGCAAGACCAGGTGGTGGAGGAAGAGGACGAATTGAAGGCACACCAGGTTTTGGAGGAGGAGCTGCAGGACCAGGAAGGTTCCTAGCATCATTGTTAAGACCATCATTTTGGTCCTCTCCATTGATATTCTGCGACATTGCTTGATTTGCTGTGCGGCCAATACTTCCAGTGTGACCATCCCAGATGACCTGCTTTGGTTGCTCATCTTTCTTTTTCTCAATCTCAGCCTTGACAGCATTAGACACTTCTTCCTCTGTGGTACCAAAAATATCAGGACGGGTTCGTGCAAGGCCCACAATGTTTCTTGAGATTTCATCATCTTGAGCAAGAGTAGTCTCCCGAATCTTAGCAAACATCCTTTCCTTTTGCTCTTTGTATTTTGGATCAATGAGAGAAATCCTCATGTGTTCAGACATCTCATTGATAGGTATGAGCTCTCCAGTGATTGGGGAAATGACATACTTTGTTGGGTCTCTTTCGGCAGGGATCCTGTCCTCAGGTCTCTTCCAGTTCTTCACAATTCTCATTGGTGGTTCTGGATCCTCTGTCACCATATTCTCGTTCCTCTTTTCATCATCATTCTCTTCAAGTCTGGCTGTCCTCAAGCCCTCTTCAACAAGCTGCATCTCTTCTTCATCCATTTCCATTTCCACCTCCTTACCAGGCTCAACAATGTCCTCTTCCATATCAGCGACCTTGCTTCTCCTAATAACCTCCTCAAGGGTCATCGGAGGAGGTAAATCCTCATCCTCATCATCTGCAAAGTCTATTGTTTCAACCACAACAAAGTCATGCCAATCAATCATAGCCATTTGTATTCTTTCCTGCTCAATCTCATCTTCAGCCTTCTGTCTTGCCTGCTCTTGTGAACGCTCCCACTCCAGTCGATGGACACACCTTTCGAGCACAGTTGTCATGTCTGCAACACTTTTCTTAAGCTTATCTTGCAAATTCTCCGGAGGCATCAACACCTTAGAATATGCATCAGCCAGAGAAGTGAAAAATGTGAACATGCTATGCATAGGCTTCAGAAAATGGAACTGGTGGTTATTCATTTCCCTGCTTGTCAATCCTTGCAAAAATGTTTTCCCATTTCGAGCTGCAAACTGCGCTGTGAGCTTAATAATATCCAACTCTTCCCCGGTAATACCTTCAGGAAGACGAACAGTATACTCCTCAGCTTGTGGTGGTTCGAGCACTTTGCGAACAGGTCTAAACTGGGCAGAGGGATCAGGCTTTGGGGCTCCTGCTTCACCATCTGCAGCTGGAGCTGGTGGGGCAGACTCAGGTGAAGCAGAATCTGCAGGCTGTGTAGATGGTTGCTGTCCAGAAGACTGATTCAGGGCACGGAATTCAGACAACCGATGCTGATAATATGCATGGTAGGGATCTGTCGAAATCAAGAAACTGAACTTTGCATTTCCGGTATTATTAGCCATAATCCTTTTCTCAAACTCTGGTCCATTCTTTGCCACAAATTGGGCAGTTTTGTCAACAATGTTTCTAATGTCTGGAGGAGGATGTATGATACCAATAGCCCTGGTATGCGTTGCAACTGAAGTAGAGTTGGCTTTGCTCAGCTCCTCGTTCAATTGGTTCTCATCCTGACTAAGTTCAGTCACTTGGGATTCCGGAAGAGGCCCAAGGTCTCCATCAGAAGGAGGAGCCGGTAAGGGCAAAATGGACCCTATCATTTTCCCTACAGAAAAAACAAAACACTTAAGCATGAAATCGGCTAACTAACAGGCATAAAAACAACCTTGTCCTAACCACAACCTGCACATTACAATTCCAAAAACACTCGTATTAAAATGTCGAAGCATTTATATATACGCATAAGACCACTTTTGTAAGTACCGAGCTGTCATACTACTAAATACAGAAAACTAATTCACTCTGATAGCCAAATTTCGAAGATGAATCTGAAAAAGATGGGAACACGCATACTGAAAGTAAGACATCCAAATTACTAAAAAAATCCGACAAACCCATCTGCATATATTAACCATAGACACTAATCCTATATCAACTACAAAGAAATCTTCTATTTTTCGAAGTAAGAGGAAACCCAATTCGGAATAATAACTTCTGAATCTCAAAAATTTAGTGTTAATTGAATGAGAACCTCAAACCCAGATAGGAATCAAGCACCAGAAAATAAAAATAAAAACGATTGCACCATTAAGCAAAACAAACATAAAATTTTGTAGCAAAGCCTAGTTGAGAGATTCGTCCGCCCTGCCCTGCCCCGTACTTCCGAAGTGGGCGACAAACGGGATCTTAGAACTTTTTGGAGGACGAAAATATTAGGGCTTAAGGCAGAGAGAGAGAGAGAGAGAGTGTGTGTACCTTAGGGTTCTAACCAGATGATTCCACCTCTTCTAGGGTTTCGAAGCCCTACTCTGTGTGTGTGAGAGAGGATGAATGAGCGGGTTTATGCGAACGAAATATGCAGTGCAATAACCGTGTTTATTTATTCATGGGAGATTTTATTTGGACCGACTAATCTTATTTTAACACGCAATTAAAAAAATGGGTGTGATATCCACACATTCCATTTTATTTCTCACACATCTTTTTAATTTTCGGCCGCCGGATAGGATGAATTGAAGAAGATCAACGGACAGAAATCATCAAGGGGTGTGTGAGAAGTAAAATGAGATGTGTGGATAGCACATCCCTAAAAATATTTCTCTGCTAAACTTTCGAGTTTACCTTTAAATAAATAATAAAAAAAAAAATATTCGTTTTTTATCTCTACACGCAATAACTAAAAGTTTAACACACCAATGTACTCTTTCATTATTTCCGACGAAACCCATCCAAGTGACATCAAAATATTCTCTCGAGCTCATCAACGTCCATGGGTGGTGGTGTTTCTCAAATTTTTCAATGGGAATTATATTGGAATTTTTAGGAATAAATTATCAAAACCATACCTTTAACTATCAAGATAATCTATCACTTACATGTGTTATTTATTTTATTTGAACATGTAGGTTATTTTTCTATTTGGAAAGAACTTTGTTCTTTTTGATATATATTACTATATGGAATGAAAGTGTAAATTTTTTGTTTATTAAATTGATTTTGAAAAGTAATATTTTTAGTTTGTTGGAATTGTGCATAGGAAAAATAGAAGTTGGGATGATGGTCAAAATAGAAGTGGGGGATGGTGGTTTTTGAACCGTTTGTTGCAGAAAAAAAAATTTGAAAATTTTGTTGTGACCTATGTTTATCTGAGGGGTACGGCATGGAGAGAAAGAGAGTGGAGAATATACTTGAGGAATTGTGTGTTAATTCCTCAGTCCTTGTGCCTTTATTTATAGTAATAAGGAGGAGAGAAACTTGCTTTTCAAGTAATACAAAGTCTATTAGGAAAGATCTTCTGGATCCCAAAGGATTCCTAATCTATCTCTACTTAGGATTTACACAATCACAATATGTATTAGAACATATGTCACACCATTCCCCATTGAGTGTGCAACTACTCAAGTAAATGGTACATCAGGCCTTTAGGCAAATGTAGAAGCAGTTGATGAAGTCGTCTCGTTTAGTCGACACAAGTAACGAATGCGAGTCTCAAAACAAACGGAAGAATGCATGGGTGGTAAAACTCATAAAACCTCGCTATGGCAAAACCCAAGATAAGACAAAAGCCCATAGTCAAAGGAGAAACGTGAGAAGTTGCATTAAGTCAAAACTATACATCTTCGATACGCAAGTAGAACATACATAAGGGTATGATAAACCCAGGATGGGTGTCTCGTTAAAACCTAGTCAGGTAGCAAAAACCCAGTGGGAGAAATGCTCCTTATCATAGGAAAAAGAGTACATTAAGGTCAAGTGGGTATACTTCTAAATACTCCCCCTGAGTTTGACAAAACTTCCAACTGAAACTACAAGCATCATAAGTGAGAAAGTTACGCATACCAATTCCTCAAACAAGATTTTGGAAGGTAGACTTCGGCAGTGACGTCGTGTAGAGGTCGGCAAGATTGTCTGGGATCATACTACTTGACTTCAATCTTCTGATGCTTATGTTGATGTAGACACAATATGCTTGGCGTTGACTTGTTAGATGTATCATGATTTGGTCGATACATACAACGTTGTCTTCATGGATCGTTGTTAGGACTTAACGATGGATGAAAATCATTGAGATTTTGAATATGCTCAACCATATCTCTCACGTGATGAGATAGAGTCAGTCTTGGAATGATTCGAAGGTTTCGCAACAAATGTCTATCTAGTTGACCTCCAAGATATTGCGGTGTTTCTTAATGGTAAAGACATTACCATTTGAGAACGTACCTTGTGTGGTCAGATAGTAGTTTGATTCAGGGAATCCCACAAGGTAGGCATAATTCTAAAAATCAAGGGGGTGTGATCTATTCTGAGATGCATAGGAATAGATAAGCTCAAATCCGTAGTAATGGAAAAACGTCTTTAACACTACTTTGATGGTAGCGAGTAGGCGCAATGCTGCTTTATGCCAAAAGATTATCACCGCATAAGATGTCTAATCTATCGCATTGAGCTCAGTACAACAAACACCAATTGTACTTAGATATGGTTACCTCACGTTCCAATATGGAACCTGTTGGAAATATGCCCTGAAAGTCAATCTTTGGAAGAAATCTTTCAGGACAAATGAATCGATGTATGGATGATTCTTATACATCAAATGGCAAAGATACTAATTAGGACTATCTCAATAAACGAAATATGTCCTGAATAGTGAATCCATGGACAATGGATCGATTGAAGAAGTAATCTAATGATGTTAGACTACAGAGACCTTCTTCACATAAACAGATGTCCAAAAAGGTTCCTGGTCATTGGATTGTCGGAGGGATACTGACAATGCGTAGACCGGTACATACTATGTCTGCTTCAATTGGAAGGATGGAAAGTCTCATCCCATTCGTGTTGTGACACTAAGACAAGTATGTAGGTGCTCATTAAGGGAATGAGTTCACTGAACACAAATCGAACGGGAGTACTTGCATGGAGGTCTACTCACATGTCAAGCAAGTAACTCTAATGGTTGGAAAGATGTAAGTAATCCTTAGACCTGAGGCATCGTCGTTGTCTTGTGGTTAAGTACTTAATCTTTGATTATGTCAAAGTCTCCCCATTCGAGGGTGTCCACGGCATAATTGGGGTTAAGCCACTTAGTCATGAAGGCAAGTGTATGCGCAACAAGGAATCTCTAATCCTCGATAAGAGAGGAAGAATACTCTAAGATATGATTCGGGAATCTTCGGCCGAAGTATCGAGCGTAATAAAGGAAAGCGTTCCTAAACGACTCAATTGGATCATATAAGAAGGAATAATCACATTAGGGGTTTGACATGATATATCCATACCCTAATGATGTGATTGAGAGTATTGTATTAGAGAAGGATTGAATTACATTGTAATTCCAACTGACTAGGTTCTCCGAATAAACTTCTACATTAGCTTGGGTAGCTATGACATATGGTTAGATGTCACTCATAGCTTGTGAGTTCTTCTAGATGATTAGATGTAGTCGTCGTCAAAGAAGAAAGGTGAATTAAAATGAGGTTTTAATTCACTAAGTGATTGAATTAAATATAAGCAATTGGATTAATGCCAATCACCTCACTGCCTTGCTAATTAGAACCTAAAAGGTTGTTCACCAATACACTATTGTAGTGAGTAATTAATGGATGATGGAAACAATTAATTGGATTAATTATGTGTTGTGATTAATTTAGAAAAGTCTAAAGAAATCATAAAAGCGATAAAGATCGTTTTGGGCTTAAAGAAACGTTCGGGTTTAATTAGGCCCATTGGGCCTAAACCCATTGGGTTTTTATTCAAGCATTGGATGACTTGAAATAATAAAAGCCCAAAGCCCAAAAACAACACAAGAGGGCCGGCCATATTATGTGGGTTTTGGAGAGATATTTAGTCAAGTGTTGACTAGGTTTTCTTTTTGTCTATATAAGCAACTTTATAAGATATTGTTCATTAGGGTTTTTGTGAGTTTTGAACAACAAAAGAGGCAAAAGAAAATAGCCATCTTGAACCACAAAGGCCGGCCACCAAAGGGGGTTTTTACTAACATCTCTTACACCCTTTTGGTTATTCCTTCATCCTTCTCACTACACTAGTGGGTGAGGATCTTTAGAGGTTTCCTACTTTGGGAACTTGAAGAGAACCTAGGAGCACTCATTGTAACAAAGTGGAGGAGGCAAGGAGGGAAGCTAGGCTCAAGGATTTCAAGGAGCAAAGGCCTTGGAGGTGGTCCATCCTTGGTCTTAAGTCTAGATCAAGAGGTATAAGACTAACCTTCACTTTGTTCTTGATTCAAAAAATTGTTTTGATGCATTATATATAAACCTATGAACCTTGAAGGGGATTTGCATGACTATAGCTTTGATAATATGTTATAAATGCTTCCGCTGCTTTCGTATATTAATTTTTGATTTGTATATGCATGATAGTCATTATGAAATCCCATTCTAGAATCTCATAATTTTCCCTTCAGAACCTTATGCTCCATATCCTTCATAAAGGTCTCATTTGCATCTAGCGTACAAACGATCAGGGTATACTTGGACATAACACATTTTGGGTCTAGTTTGAGTGGTGGACCAGAATACCATCAGAACTTGCTCGAAACTTTAGGTCAAGGTAATGTTAAGTTTTCCCAAGATCATTCATCTTGAAGTCCGACTTTAGGTGCGAGTCAGTATTCTCAACTCTTGCAATTTTGGATTTTGTACACGTAGGGGCATATATCCCTAACTGATCAAATATTCACTTAGATGGGTATACCACATCTGCCCGGATAGTTCTGCATCCGTAAAGTGAATGCCTTATCAGAACCGAGAGGGTGTTCTCGTGGTCTAGATCTATTTGAATTGGTACATGTAAGTCCTTTGGAAACTCCATGTAGTTTTCGTATCAAGATCCCAGAGATAATACAACCATGTTTGTAATGTTACAATTAATTACATGGCGTATGAAAGAAGCCTTACGCCACAAGGCGTCATTCACACTATTTAATTCATCTCATTCGTCATGGATTGATTCTTCTAGTTAAGTAATCAGTTCTACGTCGAACTAATCAACGGAACGCAATTCATTATCGTTGCTTTTCATTTATGTTGGTAGTTACCATATAAATGAAACATCATCTATGATAATCTCATTCCAATTCCATATCTCATCGAACCTAGTATACTAGACTAAGAACTTCAAGTCTCAGGAGTAATCTGGATTTAATCTCATGAAATGGAAATGATTGAGAACGTGATCAAGGGACAGATTCATTCATGCCATGCTCCTCCAATTTCGGGGAAATGAATCCTCAAACTGAGTGATATGCCATGTTTTGGTGTATGATAAATTGATTGGCTAGTCGCCAGTGTATGAGGGTCAGCCACAGTAGTGGTGTTCTTGCTTTCGGGACGAAGATCCATCGTACATTTGGTACACA